ATAGGAGAAGAGGGGAGAGGAGGAAACTGAGAGATTGGGGGTGGAGAGGGGAAGGTGGGGGAGGAGGATGGGGAAAGAAGAGTGAAGTTAGGGGGGGAGGGGATAGCGGAGAAACGAGAAAGCTGGGAAGTTTTGGGGGTGGCTGGTGGGATGGAAAGGGGAGGGGGGCTGAGAGAGGATCTGTGAAGTGGGTGAACGGGATTTAGAATGTATTTGTGGCTTTCTGAACTTCTTACAACATGTAAAACATTATGGTTGTCGTGTTTTCATTATTTCTTTTTTCTTTTTTTCAAACAACTTTACTTTGTTAATTTAGTGTAGCATACGTATAGCTAAATCGAAAGGACACAGAATCTTTTCGTTATATACGAATTTCGCTTTATATATGTTTAAAAACAGAAAGAACATGTCGGTATATGAGAATCTACCGGGACCTGAAACGTGCTTGATGTATGTTCTTTTGTTTTGTTTTGTTTTAGTAATACGGTTTTGGTTTCCAGGCAGACTTCACAGTCAGTGTACTTTCTACTGCCTTTCTTTTTGCACTAATAGTGAATGTGTTTGAGAGTGTGTATCTGTTTTTGTGTGTCTGTTTGAATGTGAGTGTGGGTGTGAGAGTGTGGAGGTTTGTTTTTTCATGCCAATGTGAAAAGGTGAATGAATGTTAAAATATGTTTAGTATGTACGTATACAATATTGCATTAACAACATAATCATCATCAACAACAATAACAACAACAATAACAACAAAAACAGCAACAACAACAACAACAACAACAATATCAACAACAACAACAATAACAACAGAAATGACATCAGAGGAACCACATCACCAACACTCCGCTATAAACTACAACACAATACAAACTACAGCCATATCAAACTAAGTAAAAACATCTATAACCACGTTAGTAACAACAGAAGCAGCTAAAAACATATAACAAAACTACAACTGCAACAACAATATCGACAACAACAACAACAACAATATCGACGACAAAAACAACAACAACAACTTCAACAACAATATCAACAACAACAAAAACAACAAACAACAACCGCAACAACAACAACAAACAACCACTACAACAACAACAACAACAACAACAACAACATCGACAACGAAAACAACAGCAGCAACAACAACAACAACAACAACAAAACAACAACATCAACAACAACAACTATGACAACTAAAACAAAAATATCGACAACAACAAAAACAACAACTACAACAACAACAATATCGACGACAAAAACAACAAAAACAACTACAATATCGACAACGACAACAATAACAACAATAAACAACAACAACAACATCAACAACAACAACAACAACAACAACCTGAGACAACTACAGTCATCACTGCCCACTGTATATCTCCAGGTATTCCCCTACAGAACAAAGCTACCACTCACAGAGAAAACATCCGCACGGAGCAAGAACCAAGGAAAGGAACATTCTAGAACTACCTTCACCTCGACCACAACAGATTCAGTCACCGTCCGCTCGCTACAAGTCAAAGGTCAGTTTGCCCCCCCCCCTCCCTCTCATACACACCCCTGCCTTTTTTTTCTAATTTGAAAATGCTAATAGATTCTATATTATCTTGTCTGTTCACCTTCTGTAACGGATATCTTTCAAGAAGATCGCGGCATTTCAAACAAGCAATGGGCATTTTCTACTCTATTTCTACTCTGACTGATTCGAGTTCCGCCAACTTTGATGATGTACCTGCTTTTTGTTGCTGTTGTTGTAGTTGCTGTTGTTGTTGTTATTGTTAATGTTGTTATTGTAGTTGTTGCTGCTGTTGCTGTTGTTGTGTTGCTGTTTGGGGGGAAAGGGGGGAAGGGGGG